TTTCATTTCCATTTGCAGGTCTTCCGGGACTGCCAGGTAACCCTGGACCCGAAGGACTTCCCGGACTTCCCGGTCCAAATGGACCTCCAGGATACCAGGGGGAAAAGGGACTACTTGGTATTGACGGAAAACGAGGAAGAGACGGACAGGTACCTTAACTGGCTCTCCTCCTCTCAAAACTCCGCAAACATCACTTTGCAGATGGGACAACCAGGTGCACAAGGTCCTCCTGGTGACAGCTATCCGGGAGAGCCAGGTGTAGGTGGGGCTAAAGGAGAAATGGGAGATGTTGGATACCCTGGATTACCCGGTCCTATGGGTCCTCCTGGTCCGGCTGCTCCTCAGCAGTTCTTCCAAGGAGAAGATGGAAAGCCTGGTGTTGATGGACTACCTGGTCTGCCAGGAGAACGTGGAGCAGATGGACTGCCAGGTTTACCAGGACAGGTTACTGATTCCTTTTATAGAAAATCTTAATCACTGACTCCTGAGCAAAAATGTCTTTAGACTTTTAAGAGATAGTTTCACATAAGTTTACAATGAGTTAGGATTTAGTTCAATCAGCAGACTGCAAAACAAAACATCTCTTACTTTCTGCAAAACCTAGCTTTGCTGAGGGAAAACTTACTTTGTAGCTTGGAATCTCTCAGTATATCTTACAAACACGAAATAAATGCAAAATACTTATCCGGCTACCTTTTCCAGTAGAGTGGCCCAAACGTTTGCTGGTCGTGGTTATGAATTACTGTTAGTTTCTTTTAGAAAACTGCATAAATAGATCATGATAAAAGAGAAACACTCAAATAATATCTAAAATTCCACTTCAGTCTGTTTGGGTAGGATGTGGGTCTTGGTCCAAAATGACCGACGACTTGAGGAAAATGCTTGAAGAAATGATTTTATGCGCAGCTGTGATAACACACTCATAATGGGTGTAGGGATCTCACAATTGCATGGCGAAAATGTAAAAAATACGCTTTTTGTTACCCAGCGCGCTTGGCGTTAAGACACCTTTTATGGGACAGTACATAATATATTCTCTGAATGTAGAGCCCCGCTATTCATTCTGTTTCTAAATGTGTGTTTATTGGAAGTTAAAGTGACTTTTTTTACCAACAAAAACCTTGATATCATCTTCAAAAAAATTTGGACATTTTGATCTTAGAAATATGAGCCGGCCGAGAAAAGCTGGATGACAGTATTCTAGAAAAAAAACACGAAAAATCATTTCCATTGATTATCAGATAGTTCAACCTCTCATTCGTTTTGGGTTTCGCGGATCTGCGGCTTGAAAGTGCGGGTGCAAAAGATTAATGTATCCAATGATTATTAAATTGTACGTGCATATTAACTAAATTTCTGTAACAAAATTGAATGCTTTAAGGCTTTTGTAAGCAAGGTCAGGCAGCCGTAAACAGCACTACTCACTCTGTTCCAAGAAAAACTCTTATTAAGGGATTATTTGTGCCTTAGACTTGTTAACAATCTACAGCACTTACTAAAACCTCAAGGATCTTTTGACGAATATCCCAACTCGCTGAGCTTAGCGCTATGATCCTTACATTTGCTTCGCCACTGCATGAACTTTGAACTACATTCTACAATGCAGAATAATTACTGATAAATTAACCACGCACATTTAAACCAGACTTTTTAGAACCTCATTTTGAACAGACATCTATTAGTCAACGACCTGATTTAAACACTTCTGAAATCTTAGTCTTTGGTAGGAACAAATCACAAAATGAATGTGAAAAGTATGAAGTGCCTTGAATGCCTGCTACAGTGCA